CCTCTCCTCTTCACTCCTCCTCCTCCTCCTTCACTCCTCTCCTCTTCATTCCACTCCTCTCCTCTCCTCTTCTCTCCTCTCCACTCCACTCCTCTCCTCTTCACTCTTACTTCTTTCTCTTTCTCTCCTCTCCTCTCCTCTTCTCTCCTCTCCTCTCCTCTTCACTCTACTCCTCTCCTCTCCTCTCCTCTCCTCTTCACTCTACTCCTCTCCTCTCCTCTCCTCTTCACTCCTCTCCTCTTCTCTCTACTCCTCTCCTCTCCTCTCCTCTTCACTCTACTCCTCTCCTCTCCTCTTCACTCTACTCCTCTCCTCTCCTCTCCTCTCCTCTTCACTCTACTCCTCTCCTCTTCTCTCCTCTTCACTCCTCTCCTCTTCACTCTACTCCTCTCCTCTCCTCTCCTCTCCTCTCCTCTCCTCTCCTCTTCACTCCACTCCACCCCACCTCACTTCACTTGGGTCACCAGGCCTTCTCATCACTCCCCAAACACCAACTCCCAGCATATGCAGGCACTTCCTTCCAGTTTATTGTCTGGGGTGAAAAAGTTTTGCATCATTGATTTTCTCTTCTTTGTATTGCTCACCACTTCTGTATACATTCATTGCTGGTTCGTGTATAATGCTCTTACTTGCCATGGTCACAATGGTTGCAGCAAGCACACTCTGTGTCTCCTTGGAAAGTGGTGGCAAAGTCTTGGCCTTGCCCTCTAACTAGAAGAAAAATGTCTGAGCCCCAACTTCTTTCTGTCAGAAAGGTGGGAGTAGTGTGGCAGAGAGTTCCAAGTATCTGAAGAACATTTTAAACCAGGCTGACAGTGCCAGGAAAACCCGACTGTTCAGAGCACGTAGCTGTTGTGTGCCCCAAAAGGAAAGAAGGGTTGAAGCACTTCCAATACGACCTTTTTAAAGGGCCTTTAAAAAAAGATGTTTTAATAAATATGTGATACGCCTTTCCCAAACCTAATTATAAGAGAGTTCTGTAAACAAGATAAGGACAGTGAAGGCTTTTAATAGCAAATTGCAGTTAAGTGATGAGTGTGGCGTCACACTTATCAAACTCTAACAAAAATTGTTTTTTTTCTGATGCTCGCTTAAGTGAATGTTCTAGATACTAACAGGTTACTACACTTCCCAGGCATCCCTTGGAATTCATTTATGTCTGCAGAAGGGATTTCCCAGGGTGTATAGATCCCAAATGAAATACGTTTCCTCAACTCTTGTCCTAACTGGATGGAAGTAACTTAATTCCATATAAATGTAAATGCTGTTAACACCCAAAGGTACCCTAGGATCACAAGGAACTGTGATTGGTAGCGGTCTCCTTTTTATTAATCCATTTAGCAGACACCAACTACTGCTGTGAGCCAGGCTCTCTGCTGGGCACGGGACCTGGGGAGGGAGCCACTCCCTTTGCCTTACACCTTTGCCTGTTGCGAATTAGTCAACACTCCTTTCTGGCTATGTTATAAGCTCGTATTGACTATGATTCCTATCCCTTTAACTTGATAGTCATTAGATTTGCAAGGATAATGAAATTAGCAGGGCAGCCTTTTCAAAATCAAGATGTTATTTTCATTTTTAGAAAGCCATTCAAGTATGTATCACATGAATGTATTTTAATAAATCAAACCTACTTAGTTCTCATAAATCTGTTTTGTCCTCTACAGATAAATTTTTTTCTAATGCTTGTTCTAGTGGGAATGCAATTCTTCCCCACCACAGAGGGTGGGAAGGATGACTGGAAATGCAGGTCCCGTCTTACTGTTATTCAAACGTCTCATTTCACTTTCTACAGGATGGTCTGTGACTTAACAGAATATCTGCAATGCTTCACACTCCAGGAAAATTGGACCATCTCAGTCTCTGTCTAAAATTTCTTACTGGCTTCTCATCCTTCCACAGTCAAGTCTAAAAGCCCCAGCAAGCCCGGCCAGCGTGGCTCAGTGATTGAGTGTCGACCTATGAACTAGGATGTCCCGGTTCAATTCTTGGTCCCCGGTGCGGGGCATGCATGAGGCAGCCAATCAATGATTCTCCCTCATCATTGATGTTTCTCTCTCTCTCTCTCTCTCTCTCTCTCTCTCTCTCTCTCTCTCTCTCTCTCTCTCTTTTTCTTTCTGATATTAGTAAAAATATATTTTTAAAAAATAAAATCCTCAGCAAGACCCTGAGTAATCATAGTCTGTTAACTCTACAGCCACTTTACCTGCCTTTCCTTTATGCCTGTTTGGCCTCAAGCCTCACCCCAGGAAGCAGTGTGGCCTGCATTCCTATCTCAGTTCCCTTCTCTTATGAAGCCTTCCCTGATCCTCAGGCCCGCCTAATGGGCCTCTCTTCTGCACCTCTGAAGGGTCTGTTCCATTTCTTTTTTTTTTTTTTTTTTAATATATTTTATTGATTTTTTACATAGAGGAAGGGAGAGGGATAGAGAGTCAGAAACATCGATGAGAGAGAAACATCAATCAGCTGCCTCCTGCACACTCCCTACTGGGGATGTGCCTGCAACCAAGGTACATGCCCTTGACCGGAATCGAAACTGGGACCCTTGAGTCCGCAGGCTGACACTCTACCCACTGAGCCAAACCAGTTAGGGCCATTTCTTAATTTAGCATTTATTTTATGGTAGTGTTAGGTGTACCGCAAAATTAAGCAGGAGGTACAGAGATTCCCTTATTCTCCCTGCGCCTCCTTCCTCACACACACACACACACACACACACACACACACACACACACAGTCTCTGCCACTGTCAGCATCCCCCATCAGCATGGTACATGCGCTACAGTTGGACACATCCTAGTCACCCAAAGGCCATAGTTTATGTTAAGGTCACTGTTGGTATTGTCCTTTATGTGGGCTTAGACAACCGTATGACATGTGTCCATCATTACCGTATCCCGGGGAATAGCTTCACTGGTGTAAAAATCCTCTCCACTCCACCTGTTCATTTCTGCCGCCCCAGTGACACGTGGCAGCCACTGATCCTCTTACTGGTTGTATCATTTTGCTTTTTCCAGAATGTCTATGTGTAGTTGGAATCATTGGCTTTTTAAAACTGGCTTCTTTAACCAAGCATTATGTACTTACGTTCCCTCCATGTCTTTGCATGGCTTCATCGCTTATTTTTAGCATGAATAATATTCCGTTGTCTGGATGGGCCACAGTTTGTCTATCCATTCACCTCCTGAAGGACATCATCGTTGCTTCTCAGTTTTGCCAGTTGTGACCAAAACTGCTGCAAACATCTGTATTCAGGTGCTTGCGTGGACTGAGCTTTCAGCTCCTTTGGGTAAATACCAAGGAGTCTGATTGCTGGATTGTGTGGTAAGGGTGTGTTTAGTTTTATAAGAAACCACCAAACTATCTTCCACAGTCGCTGCACCGTTTCGCATTCCCCCAGCGGCGAGAGAGGGTTCCTGTTGCTCCCCGTCCTCACCGGCCTCTGGTGGTGTCGCGTTCTGGACTTGGGCCATTCTAATAGGGGTGCAGTTTGGCATTCAATTGTTTTAATTGCATTTCTCTGATGATATATTAGACATCTTTTCATATGCTTATTTGTCATCAGTATATCTCCTTTGGTGAGATGTCTGTTAAGGTCTTTGACTCATTTTTTAATTAGGTGTTTGTGTTTTTACTCTTGAGTTTTAAAAGTTTATTTTATACTAGAGGCCCGGTGCATGAAATTCCTGCACTGGGGGGAGGGGGGGGGTCTCAGCCCGGCCTGTGCCCTCTCACAGTCCGGGAGCCTCGCGGTGGATCACCCCTGCAGAGGGAGGCCCCACACACCTGCCACAGCACTGCCGCAGGGTAGCCTGGTCCTCCCTCTTTGGGGTGATCGTGGAGCCCCCCAAATTTATCAGCATGCCAGCCAGTGACCTGGGCCTCCCTCTGTGGGGCAATCATGGGGTGATGGCCGAGCCCCCGACTAATCACATCACATTACACCCGCCTTGGCTGGCCTGGCGCCAATGGGTGTCATAGCGTGGTCCCGGACAGTCATTCTGCTGTTTGACTATTCAGTCGATTTGCATATTATGCTTTTATTATTATAGATTGTGGATATTAGTCTTTTATCAGATATGTCCTTTGCAAACATTTTCTCCCATATTTCGTGGTATTTTTACTCATTATTTGTTTATCTGGATTGCAGCATTCATCTTTATGTTTTTAGTGCTACACATGTATCCCACACTAAAGAGCATTGTATACATGTTTGTTGAAAAAAATAAATCACAAATGTGGGAGTAAAAAGAAATAGGAAACCAGAGAAATCACTGAATAAGAGACACTAACAAACCCATAGAATATTTATCTTTCCTTATCAGAGAAGTGGAAACCAAGATAAGGAATTCCGTTGTGCTGTTCAGGAGGCAAACACTTAAAGTGGTTTTCACACTCAGTGCCATGAGACCGCGCTCTGCGAGGGGAGGGGACGGGGTCAGAGACCTTGTGGGAAGCACCTTCTATCGCTGCTGCTCACAGTAGCTCTGCTTCTCGGAATCCATCCTAGGGAAGGGGTCTCGGCACAGAAAGGGCCTCAGCAGGAAGACACCCACTCCTTAACCGCCAAAGGAATTCGGAGACCCAGATGTCCAATTTGGAGAATGGTTGGGGGAACTATGACACATCACCCAGATGGGGTATCAGTAAGACAGATAAAACAATTCTCAATAGTTACTTAGCCGCCTAAAAGGAGGATGGAACATGGCACTGATGATGTGCTTGTAATGACTCCAACACGTGTGCATCTGGAGAAAGACTAGAGAGATCGGGCACAAATGAAAACACTTGGTTAGGTAGTAATGTGGGCAGGTTTTAAAACTTACCTTTTACTGTTATAATGCTGTCCGATACACGGACATTATAAAAATCTCAGGGACATTTATATAAACTCACAAGTGAGAGAAAAATCTGAGGCCCTTGGTTACCCTCTGCGTCCTGAGGAGCACAGAGAGGCTGGAGGGCAGACCCTGAGCTGGCCCTGCTCTCCCTCGGCCTAGGCACTGTGGTCGCTGTGGACGAGAGCACGGCCTTCTCCTGGCCTGTGTGTGACCGGTGTGGCAGCCAGAGATTGGAACAGAGCCCAGAAGACAGGTAAGGGGCAGCTACCTGCCTGAAAGACCCCGAGGGGCGGCAGCCCAGTCCCAGGACCCCTCCTGCCTCCCTGCCCTGGGCAGCTCCCCCGCCAGGGCCCAGGCTGGGCAGGAGCTCCGCAGCAAAGCCCGTCTGCTGCGCTGCAAGGCACAGGCTGCAGACACGGTCTTCTCCTCACATGGGGGTTTTCTCCATGTTCCTGCAGCTCGTTATCTTGTAAAAGAGAAGCCAGGTTTGTCCTCAGTTGTTTTGTTATTAGGGGAAAAGCGAAAGCCAGGGTTCACATGAATAAAGAAGACTAACCTGGTGACTGGCACCTTGTCCTCCGTGGGGCACAGGCTTCCCAGAGACCAGGGGACAGGGGCCCAGCACCCGCTCCACCGCCCTCGGGAGGGTCTTTCTCCAGTCAGTTCTCTGGCCTCCCACGTGGACTTGTCACATGACAGATAGAAAGGGGCTCCTTACTTTCCTGCTTCGTAAGAAGCCCAGGGCAGATGTCTCCTTGGCACCTCCTGGCTGGATGGCATCATGTGTGAACGAGTGGTTGCTGGATCGTGCCTAAGAGACGAGCAGAGTGGGAACCACAGGTGGACTTGGCAGCAGGAAGGCGCGTAGATGCTGACGACTGAAAGCAGGTGTCCCGTCCAGCGGAGAGGAGGCCTGCCTGCCTCTCGCCGGGCACAGGGCTTCCCTTTGCTGGCGGGATGTTTGCTGTCCTCATGCTCAGCTGGATCAGCTGGATGAGGCGTCCTGCTGAGTGCCCTGCCGGTTCATGCCCACACGCATCAGCCAGAGGGGGAAGCTGACCTTTGTCCCTCAGCACAGGCCGAGCCCGGCTGCTGCGGCCTATTTCAGGAACTTGGTTTTGGAAAGTAAATCCCCTGCTATCTCAGCACTCATTCGTGTCCAGGAAAATGTCTGTCCACTGCTAGACGCTCATCTGCTTGTGTTCTGGCCCTGTCTTCCCTGTGTGCTTCCCAGCGACAGAGGCGCCTTTTCCTGTGCAGACTGCTCCCGCGTGGTCACCTCTCCTGGCCTCCGACGGCACCTCCAGGTCTTCCTGGCCTGCCCCGCGCGGCCCCAGTGCACAGTGAGGGTCAAGGTAGGAGCGTGTGCCCTCCGTCCCCCGCGGAGCTGCTCTGGCTCCCGGCCTGGGGCAGACTCGCACCCATTGCTCTTTCCCTGGGAAAAGGCGAAGGACTCACCCTCAGGAACGCAGTCTTTCCATGTCTGTGGCCTGACAAGCCACGTTTGACTTAAGGCTTTGAGATCGGAGCTACTAAGAGGAGGCAGTGGTTCCTGTCTTAACATGTTCGTCTCCAGGCGTGAGTGTCAGCACCAGCGCTCTCGCAGCCGGGAGCCCTAACCCAGCCATGTGACTGTCGTTGCAGCTGATGCAGAGCAGTATCGCCTCGATCCTGAGGTTCGCCGCCGGTGAGGACGGGGTAAGTGCCCTGAAGCCCCCAGCTAGCAGATCTCCCCCCGATACAGACCCCATGCCATGTGCTTCCCGCTCCGGCGGCCCCGCAGCACGCCTGCACGTGCTGAGTGCGAGACTGCTCTCATCACCGGCAGATGCCCCGTCTGCTAACACGTCTTTCCTTTCTGGGATCGGGGTTATTCCTGCTCAGCCTTACAGTAGAGTCGTGAATCTGACCCCCAGGCCTGGGATGATAGTAGAACAGGATTGAGATTTCAAGTCCCGCTGCCGTGGTTTCACATTAAGAGAACAGGATTGACTGAGATACACACCTTTGTGTCCCGTTTGAGTATTTATTAGTTCTGAGAGTCACTACAGTGTGACAGCGAAGTACTGCTCCTCCGAGAAAACCACCACCTGAACATACCTTGGGGCCAAGAGTTCTCTTCTGAGAGCGGCCTCACACAAGGAGGCTGTCCTGGAGGCGCCGCCTCTGGCCGCGGCCATGACAAGCACCGCAGTGGCCAGGGAGTTGCTGAGCCCAGAGGAGGGCACCGGGCTGACCACTGAGTGGTGCCAGGCACAGGCCCCTGGCCGGGGCCGGGGTCCACATCGAGGGGCAGACGGCCAGCTCAGGAGGTTACGGGGCCAGGAGACTGATAGTACAGAACTTCCTGACGGGCTCTCCCGGCCCAACTCCAGCTCTGATTCCAGCCGAATCAGGCTGATTTGGTCCATCCCGTGGAGGCTGCCCTCGGCCCGCCACCTGGTGCCCAGCCTCCTGTCCTCGAGTGGCGAGCAGCACCAGGAGGCGGAGCAGCGTCACGTTCTCGCATCTAAACTCTGAGTTTGGATTACGTTGGAATGTGGATCAGTCCCGAACAGAACCTTAAAGAATCACTGGTCTGACTACGGTTCCCGTGCGGATTTCAGGGTAGAGTCGCCTGTGGAGCTATACAAGGGTTTCTGGCTCCCTCCCCAGCATAAGCCCACCAGTCTGGGCCTGTCTCTTTAAAACAACTCAATGACACCCCCTCACTCCCCCCTTACCCCTGTGCTAAACAAGGGGTTGCAGTGCCAATAGGGGTTGGTGTTTAGACCAGGCTGCAGGAGGGCTTATAAACAAGTATTCCCTGGTCCTTTCAAAGTAGAGTGTAAGTAAGTAATTACAGTGGCCCAGGAACGGCTGTTGCTTTTCTCACGTTGCCTGTTTCATCTCCCTAACCACCCAGGGGGCAGGCTCCACACTTGACTGCAAGGGAAGCAAAGGGTTGCAGGGCTCACAGCCACTGTTTTGTCGGGTGCAGAGAGGCAGTCGCCAGCCCAGACTGGGGAGTGGGGTCGGGGAAATGGGCTCATCTGTGTGTCTGTTCTTAGTGAAGTCTGTGTGTTTAATGGGTGATGAGTTAGCAGCACCTCGTTGCCTCATCTTTGGGTGCTTGGGGGAGAGAAGAGGGGAAGAGGGAAGGGCGTGGTCCTGGGTACAGCCGGGATGGGAGGTTTCTAAGGCGGGGCTTTCAGTGGGCGCTAAAGAGAACAGAGCTGGGTTATCAGGGAAGTGGAGAGTGTTGGGGGAAGTGTTGGTAACACTCCTGCTTAAGAAGGACACATAGGAAAATGAACCAAACCCACAACCTAAACAAACCAACCCAGCAGCACTTGGGAGTGCTGCACAACTCACCTGCTGTTCCACCCAGACAGGCCCAGGTTCGCCTGCATTCTCCAGGCGGCCTCCGCGAGGCCTGCCTCCCACTCGGTCCTGCGGCTCCCCACCCAGTGGCCTGCCTCCTCCGGGTGGCCTCCAGGGATGGACGGCCACTCTCCATAGGAGCGGGGACAGGGGAGGCCTGTGGGAATGCTCTTCTCCATTGGTTTCCTTCTGATGGCGCCTCCCCCACATCAAACTCCGCAGTGGCAGTGCTCTCTCATGTAAAATCCTGAAAGAGCTCAAAAGAGCATGTGTGTGTACTTGAGTGTTCATGTGTTTGTCTCGTACAGCTGTGAGTGCTCGTGTACATGTGTGTGCTAGAGTGTGTGCATTGGATGAGGGGCGCCGGTTGTGATAGCTTCAGGTGCCAACGTTGCAGGTACTCTCAGAGCTGACACCAGGAAATAAGGCAAATGCCAAGCCTGAGGGGCATTTCAGTGAACTCGCCCCTACCCCCAGCGCTACTCACAGGGGGATCAGTGCTTTACATCTGACCCGGAAAACAGCTGGAGGAGGGTGATAAAAAGGACTGTGTGTGTGCCTGGCTGGTGTGGCTCTGGTGGTTGGAGCATCTGATTCCTGGTCAAGGCACACACCTAGCTTGCAGGTTTGATCCCTAGTCAGGGGGCTTATGGGAGGCAACAGGTCCATCTCTCTCTCCCCCCATCCCCTCTTTTCCCTCCCTCCTTCTCTCTCCCTCTTCCTATCTCTCTAAAAATCAATAAACATATCCTCAGGTGAGGATTTTTTTATTTAATTTTTTTTTTTTTTTTTTAAAAAGGACTTACGTGTAGACATCAGCCATGCGTTTTCCAGTCTGGATTCTATCTGTTTTCTGTGTGAATGCACATTTGCCAAAATCCAGAGAATCACATAGGACTTTCTATGGAACCATAACTCCATGCCCTGGAATGAAGGCACTGCCTCTGGGTAGGATACGTGAGTGTACGTGTTCTGCCTTCGCTTTAATGGGGTCCAGCTACAGGAGTGAGAGCAATGGGGTTGCTGTCCCTGTACATGTCGGTGCATTCACTGTAACACTGCAGTGACATGAAACTCGGACTTCGTTTCCTTAGCTTTCAGAAAAAGAAAAGTTAAAGGAAAAATATATGGTACCTTTTAAAAACAGAGACACATTTTACACATTCGCACATATACATTTATATGGGAGTACAGATGCATTTGTTGGTGTGTGTGATTTTTACCTACCTGTATTAATTGCCAGCAAATATAAAGTATGTGTAATTTAATCTTTGTTTATAAATTATAGTTGTTATTGAAGACGGTAGCTGCCAAACCTGACATTTTTTAAAGTGATTTTTTGCTGACTTTTTTCAAGTCAGAATTCCGTACTTTCACCCCAAGTAAAAGTGGAGGAATGCCTGGGCGTCTGTGTCACACACACACAGCATGCAAGGCGATTAAATGGCCAACAGAGAAATGGCTGCTGTCGTCTCCCTGCCCAGCCCGGGGTGGTGGCGGCCTCTGCACACCCTGTGCGCGCTGTCCGGACTGGCAACCTGGCAGCTCCGGTCACTGCCATCGCGGTGGCAGGCCCTTCGTGGCCTCGCAGTGGCCCTCAGTGAGTGACCGGGGATGGGCTTAAAGTTGACGTCTGTGTCACATAGGATCCCAAGTGCAGGCAGACCTTTGCCGCCATTGGTGTCAGATATTTTAGCTCCGTCACTTCCCAGCAGCTCTCCCTCCCGTCACTCCATTCGACCACTCTGTTGACCTTACACGAACTTTTACTGAGCAATGAAAACTCTTTACAGATCGCACTAGTATGTTAGGCATTGCCACCATGCCCGCCTCCTAGCAGAAGGAAGGGATCACACCCAGACTGATCCTGATATTTCCTGCTTCACAACAAACCATCTCACAGCTCAGTGGCCTGTGGGCAGGACGGGGTTCTGCCGGGACAGCTCATCTCGCTCCAGTGGGCGTCAGCTGGTGGCCAGAGGCTGGGCTGGAGCCCCAGAAGGCCTTCGGTCCCCCCTGGCTTTTGTGCTCCAATTGGCTGGGACCTGCCCGGGCTCCGGCCAGACACCCACACAGCACGTGTCTGGGTCCCCAGAGAGGCCGGCAGAGAGCGCCGGGCGCCTTTCCTGGCCACGCTTGGGACGAACTCAGTGCCCTGTCCACCGCTCTGTTCCAGAAAAGCGTCCCTGAGCCCAGCTTAGACCCGGTGAGGGCAGTGACGCTCACCTTCGATGGGAGGGCACCGAGAAGCACAGACATGTGCCTACTTTGTAAGACATGCTGAGCAAAGCCATTGTAGGGATCTGTCAAGTGTATCCCATGTATTTAGCCCACCTCGGCCTCAGAGAGAAATGTTCTGAGGTTTGATCTAGAGCAAGCATATTAAACTCGCAGGCCGCATGCCTCGTTTGTTTGGCCCGTGGTAGCCTCTGAGTTTGACATGCTTGATCTGGAGAGACTAATGAGAGCATACCACACCTTCCTAGTCTGTGTTTTCATCAAGAGATGAAAGCTGGCCAAGATGAACTGACCACCGAGATATTCATCAGAACGTGAATAAAAAGCTTCTTACAACACGCAGTGTGAGTCTAGAAGAAATAGTATCCCATTGAAGAGGGAAGTTTAGGGGCAAAATACCAGAGAATCCTTTGACCAGAAGTGTTGCTAGTTTGGGGAAGTGTCCCAAAGGAAGTGGGAGGCAGCTGCAAGCACGATGCGCGCCCAGCCCCAGCGTTCGCAGCTAATAAACAGGGCTCGTCCCCGTGCACGTCCTCCGCTCCTCTCCCAGGGCAGCCAGCCGGGAGAGGCTCATCGTTGCATCCACGAACAAACATCAGTAACATTTTAAATGCTCTTGTGTAAAAACACAGTTCTGTTTTCAGAAGAAAATTCGTTCCTTCACTTGCCATAATAAATCACAGCCCTTTTTTTCTTTTTTCTTTCTTACCAATGTTCTCAACTATTTGAAGTCGTGTTCTGTGTTGTTGGGAGCAAAACATGCAGGGCTATTTGCTGTAACCAGCATGCCTTTTATCCCTGCAGGGTTATGAAGTGAACAGCGTCATCGGAAAGGAGGTGGGGTGGCTAAATTGTTTTGTCCAGTCCATAACCACCCACCCGACCAGCTGCCTGGGATTGGAGGAGATCGAGCTTCTGGGAGAAAGGGCCTCTTCAGGCACCACTGGTTCTCCTGGGCGTCTGTGAAGGCCGGTGTGGCTGCCAGGGTGCTGCTGGTGGTTTGGTAGCTGTTAACTATGGGCAAAGTGAATGTATTTTATGATCTTGAAATGGAACTGACAATTTTTCTGGGGCACATGACAGTAAAATGGTTTTGTAAACTATAAATCAAAATACTTTTTTTCTATGTATTTTTATTACCTTCCTGCAAATTTAGGGACATAACTGTTAATAAAGCTTATGTAAGCTTGAGGTCTTCGTTTTGTATTTATTTACCTTAAGCAATAGTATTAATGTAGCAGGAGAAACTGTTCAATTGCAATTTTAAAGTTTTTACATTTTACCCTGATTCAACACGTTTTTCTTGTAGTTTTTGTTTTACCATTGCCCCAAAGCATACACTGCAAAGTTTAACCCTTTGTCCTATATTGTTATATTACTGTTCTGCTCCAATAAATGTCCAATCTAAGCATTTTGCACTTCAAGGGTTTTTGTTTGCCTTTCAGTATTTGGGGGAAATAGTTTAGAGAACTTTATCAGAGGTACAAAAATGTCCACCAAGTGTGAATGAGTTAACGAGTGTGATTATAGGGACACTGAACAGAGTGTAGTTAGCTCACTCCATAGCCAAGATCAGACTGAAGAGGGGTGGGCTGTTAACACTGCGTTGTTGGGAGAGATTTAAATTAACACCATGAATTTATTAGCTGTGGACACTAAAGGTCCTGTTTTCTCCCTTATAACGATATAGTCATGACGGGCCATCATTAATTACATAATATAGACGCAGTGCCCGACATAAAGAAAGGGTGCCTAGTGCCCGCGTTCACTGGGGGGAGGCAAAGGGCTTTATGTATTTGTCCAGATGACCCTCTGGGACATAACACTGTGGCTGCCCTTTCATCTACGTTACTATTGTGCACTCATGCGCACGTTGAAAATCTCCATGCCACTGTCCAGGAGACGGAGGAAAGTGAAAGCAGACCCACGAAGGCCAAGAACTCAGGCGTTTAGAATACCCCGAGCCTCCCTCAGCAGCCCACTCCGCTCAGGGAGCCCCCGGGTCAGCAGAAAGGGGGGCCGTTCCGTCCCCTCCCCAATCTGGTCCTGTGTTTGCAGCACCTTCCCCAGAACTTGGTAGCTTAACGCGAGTTTGGTCGCGCTTCGCTGAGCCTGGGCAAGTTCAACAAAACAGTCGGACGTAGATGTCGGCGTGTTTCCCAAGCAAAGCCGACCCTCTCCCTCCCGTACAAGCTCAGCGCCCTCGGGTGACACACCTGGGTCCGCGCCTCCCCGGCGCCGCGCTGCGCACCTGGGGCTGGAGCGCGCCTTCCCCGCGGGTCCTGGGGCCCCAGCGAGCAGGCGCCGCCGCGAACACAGGAAGCAGGGGCGGTTTCAAATACTTCTTTATTCTTACCATACTGTAAAAATTAATATAAAAAAGTGAGCGTGCTCAGTCTTTTCCTCTTAGCTACAACGCAAAGGACTGTCTTTAAAGTCTTTTTGTTTTCTTAAAAAAGTACCTTAGCTGCATCAACAGGAGAAAGATGTAGAAAAAGCTACCATATAAAAATAACTTAAGGGAAAATAAACAAGTACAGCTTCTCTCCAGGGTCAGTGGTGGCAAGTCCAGGCCGCGGCTCCCTTCCCCTCGCGTCCCCGAAACGGCGGCGCCGGCTGCGGCGGGCAGGGCGCGCTGGGCTCCGCGCGGCGGGTCTGAGGTGTCCCGGCGTCTCCCCGCGCCCCCGCCGGCCACGCGTCACCGGCCGTCGGCGGCCCCGGCCGGCAGGAAGGACGAGCCGGGCAGCTGCTTGAAGAACTGCCGGAGGCCGGCCAGGTCCCGCGTGAGCTGCTCCACGCGCTGGTGCAGCTTCTCGTTCTCGGCCGACAGCTCCACCAGCTTCTGCTGCATCTCCTGGTTGCGCCGCTTGGCCTTGTCGCGGCTCTTGCGCACCGCGATGTTGTTGCGCTCGCGCCGCTGCCGGTACTCGGGGCTGCCGCGGTCCGGGCCCCGCTTGCCGGCGCCCTTCTCCCGGGCCGGGCCGGGCGCGGGACTGGGCCCCGGGCTGCCCCGCGGCGGCTCGGGCGACGTGGGGGGCGTGGGCTGCGCGGCGGCCGCCAGGCTCACCACGGTCTGCGCGCAGACGGCCACCTGCGCGGGCAGCAGCGAGCCCGCGTCGCCGTCGCCCCAGTCGGGCTCGCGCTTGAGCGGCCGCGGGGCGGCGGGGCCCGGGCCGGCGGGGCGCGCGGGGTGGCCGGGCGGCGGCTCCGGGGCGCCCGCCGCGCCCGCCTTGTGGTTGCTGTTGAAGAGGTCGGCGAAGAGCTCGTCGTGGCACAGCTCCAGGGTGGGCACGGCGGCCATGGAGTCGATGTAGGCGCTGAAGTCGATGGCGCTCTCGTCGTCGTACATGGCGGGGGCCGCGGCGCCGGGCTCGCTGGCGCGGGCGGGCTTGCAGGTCCGGCCCGGCTCGTAGAAGGGCGCCGGCTCCGCGGGCCAGGGCGCGCCGCGCGCCGGGCCGTCCAGGCTGAAGAGGGCGGCGCTCATGGCGGCGTCGGCTGGGCTCCGAGGGCGAGCGCGAGCGCGGCTGTCACCCGGGGGCCGGCCGCCGCCTTTTCTAGCCGCGCGGACGCGCAGGCCCCGCCCCGGCTCCAGGCCGCGGGGCGCCCGGGGGCGCGGGGCGGGGAGCGGCGGGCGGCGGCCGGGGAGCCACCCCCGGAGCCGCCCCTTGAACCTTCGCCCGCCGCCGCCTCGCGGCCCCGGCTCCCCCCGCGCGGCGCTTCCTCCGCCCCCGCCCGGACCGGCCCGGGCCGTCCTGCTGGGAACGGCCCTCCCTCCGCCCGCGCGGGGCGCTCCCCGCTTCCTGTGGGTGGACGGCAGCTCCGCGTCCTTCCGAGCCCGCGCGGGGTCAGCACCGGCCCGGCCGTGGCGCGCGTCCCGGGCCGGTTCCCGTCGTCAGAGGCGGGAGGGGGCGGGCGGCCCGGCCGGAGGGCCGAGCAGGGACCCTGCAGGCGCGGGCGTCGCTCGGCCCCGCCGCGGCTGCTCCCTGGCCGCGGGGAGCGGGACGCAGCGCCGGCCGCCCCGTCGGCTGCAGCGCGAGGCCGGGCCGGGCCGGGACCGGTCGGCTCCGGACCCCACGAAGCCGCGAGGACCCGCGTTGCGGGCGCTCCCCGCTCCGGGCCGCGCACGGCCGCTCCTCTGAACTGAAGCAGTGCCATCTTGTGGCTCGTCTTCCTTCAGCCCGGATTTTATTTCAGCTTCTCTCTGTTCAGGTTCAGAGACGTTCTTCGAATCTGAAGCGGCTGGGCCTCGTGAGCAGAGGGAAGGGTTGCACTGGTACCTGGCGGGGTGGCGAGTCCGTAGCTCCTCACATTGGCAAATGCCCGAGAAGACGGTATGGACTGTCTTTGTTCGCCGAGTTCCTGCAGTTGGGGGCAGGCAGTTTTGTCGATTCCTTTTCTTAAATCACTGCCCCGCTCAGACCTGGGCGCCATCTCACACCGGTTCTGGGCTCAGGCTTCCCTCTCACCAGACGCTGGTCCAAACACCCAGTGGCGCGCACGCCGCTGCCCGAGCTCCTGCGTTCATCCCAGAGGCGAACTCCAGTGACACTGTGGGGTGTTCGATAGGGTTTCTAGAAGAACAAACACATGGCTTTAGAGTTACTCAGAGGGGCACATGATGCTGGTGTGATGCATTAATCGCCTGTGAAGGGTAGAGACCATGGATACATATAATGCGGGTTCATGCCCACCCAGGAAACGGCCTAGGACAAATTTCTTGGTTCTGTTTATGTAGGAAGCCCTAAAAACACTACAAAGCCTTCTCCAATTAATTAGGAAATGAAAAATTTATGTGGAAGAACCATATTCTCAAAAACAACTCAGTGAGATGATTAGTACATTCAGATATCAGAGTAAATATAAGTATTTTTGCTAAGATGAAGTTGAGCTTACAAGGAAATGCTATTGAAGAAAAACTGTTAGAATGCCCTTTGACATTTTGGGATTGAGCTTGAAAAAGATACTAAGCCTACATTTTCGTAATATATTAGCCAGTAATTAAGAATTTTCTTATCACCCAAACACTAATTTGAAAGAATATATGCACCCCTGTGTTTATTGCAGCATTATTTACATAGCCAAGATACAGAAGCAACTCAAGTGAATGAAAAAGTTGTGGTACACATGTTCAATGGACTATTACTCAGCCATGTATAGACCTAGAATATTATTCTAACTGAAATAAGTTAGAGTAAGAAAAATACCATATGATTTCACTATCTGTGGCATCTAAAGAACAGAACAAAAAACCAAAATTGAAGCAGACTCACAGAGAACAGACTGATGGTAGCCAGAGGAAAGGGGGTTGGGGGAGAGGTAGGAAGGTGAAGGGATTAAGAATACAAAATTGATTGTTTAAAAATAGTCACTGGGCCTTGGCTGGTGTCCTCAGTGGTTAGAGCATTGCCCATACACCGAAGGGCTGCAGGTTCCATCCCAGGCACCTGTGCGGCTCTGGTGCGGGAGGCAACCAATCGATGTCTGTCTCTCCATCCTCTCTCTCCCTCCCACTCTCTCTAAAAACCAACAGAACAAATATCCTCGGGTGAGGATTAACAGGAAAAAGTCATGTGGACGTAAAGCACAGCATAACGAATATAGTCAATAACATTTTAATAAGTATGGCTCCAGGAACTGCCAGGGAGAACACGTTGTAAAGTATGTGATTATCTAACCACATGCTGTACACTGACACTACAACAAAACAGCATTGAATGTAGACTGTAACTGAAAAATAAAATTTAAAAAATAAATAATTCCATTTACTATGAAGAATTTTCTTGCCTTTTCCAGAAAAGGGGGGAGGAGAGATTATAAATCCACAATAATGGATTTGTTATGACATTTGAGGGCAAATTAAAGACTTTTTTTAAAAAAATAATAAAGTTTAAAGTTTAGTTTCTGTGACAGTAGTTCCTAGTCACTTCTTTGAATGTCTCCACTAATAATTTATTCAAGATAAAGACAAAGTTGTTATTGAACATTTCTCATTGGTAGAGATCTGTTTCCAGTAATTATCTGACCCTTCTCTGGACCCTGGTGTTCTGAGTGGAGCTGTCACAAGGAGGAATCGGGTGAGGAAGCATTCCAGGTGGGAGCTTTGGACTTCCCTGTGTTTACAAGGACACTCCTATGCTGAGCTCAGCTGAGTTTCTAAACACCAGTCGTTAGAAGTTCACGCGGCTCAAAATGCTTAGAATGTGCTCTACCATCACTGAGCGCCCTCAGGGCTGGAAGAGACGACTCGGTCCCCTGCTCATTCATAACATGGTGACCACAGCACAGCTCTGATGTGGGGCCACTCTGGGTGCTCTGTATGGGGCAAGATCCTGGGCAGGAACAATCGTTCGAATCAAAGTCTCAAACGATGAAAGTGGTTTTTGAGCCATGCTATCGAAAGCAAAATGAAGTTTCAGGAAGAAAAATGCTGATTTTAGCACCCTCTCCCCAACTATCAGATTAGATACTTTCGTTAAACTTCTGCTTGGGGCTAATTTTAATTTTATGGTATGTTTCCATGTGTCTGTGTCAGACGATAGAAATGCAGTCTTTTTTAATAAACCTCATTCCTAATGTCTGAGTTTGAATAAAGGAAGACAAAGGTCGAAAATAATGAACCCAGTGGGTGTTGGGGTCACACATCCTTTGCACTGTGAGAGCCTGTGTGTTTTATTAAAAACTGGGTGAACATTTCTGCACTTACTCCAGCCTCTGAATCGAAGAGGCTGAGCCCCCAGACTACAAAGCAACCGGAGCTGAACACAGGTATTGGATTCTGTGGGCCAGGTGTCCAGCTTCCATATTCTTGCTCACCTTCCCATGAATAAAACACACAGGAGAAGCAATTGTCTTCCTAGCCCATATTCTTGTCAAGTGGCTTCCTCCTTCCCTTAGCTCACACCTGTCAGCCCTGCCTCCACCTCCTGCCACAGCCCAGGCACTTCCTGGGTGGCACTTGTCACACCTGTTCCCCCAGGAAGGGCACAGCAGGCTTGCACGTAGGAGTTCCCCCACCCAATCCATTCTCCAGGTGGCTGCCAAGAGTTCTTTGAAGAGGAAGGTTCTGTCGCTCTGTTCCATAAAATACTTGAGAGGTTCTTGGCCACAAGAATGGAGTTTCAGTTTTTAAGTGTGAGCCCTCGACTGCCCACTTCTTTACGAGTAAATCTGTTTCCTACCACAAGCAACAGAGGCCTGGCTCAACTCTGAATCCGCCCCCCCCCTCCGCCCCAGACCTACCTGGCCCCCGTTTGTGGTGGCGATGGTCCAGGTGAGAGCTCTTCCTCCCCTCGCCTATGTGGCTGGCAGGACCTTCCATCCGCCAGAGCCTTCATAAAATAGCTCCTCTCTGTTGCCTTCCATGACTTCAGCCACATTAATCATTTCCATATCGGGTTTCTCAGGACAATTCACCTCACATATTGCCAAATATCAAATGCGCATTTTTTCATATTCTGTTGAAGTTTGGATGCAATATTGGGATGCATATGCCAGTCACCATTGGCCACGGTGTCAATTACAACATCTGGTCTTGCCTGCATATGGGTGTAAGTGGATAGCAGTGAAACCCGAGGGATAATAGTGGGGAGCTCTCTTTTAAGAAATTCTGCATCACCAACTCTCTTGACCAAACAGAGAGCAGTACTGGGTATAAAACCCAAATATCAACAACTCTGAATTTAAAAGTGATTCAGAGGAGGGAGCCTCAAGATGGCAGCAGAGTAGGTGGAAGCTACACTCACCTCCTTTCATGACCAAACTGGAATTACAACTAAAATAAAGAGCAATCACCCTGAATGACCTACTGAAGACAAGCTGAGAAGCCTCGGACCGTGGATTTACAGAAGCGGCCGCATCGCGACTACTAGGAAGGTGACGATGCCAAGAGGACTGGCTCTGCTCCCACGGGTGGTGGATGAGGTTCCAGAGAGGCCTGGGGCCGAACCCCAAGCCAGGTTCCCCAGCCTAGAGCACGAGAGCCTGTGGAGGCAGCCCCCTAACACCCGGCTGTGAAACGCAGCAGGGCTTCTGTCCACCCGGGAGACTGAGGCTGGGAGTCTGTGGGAGACACAGGCAGCCTCTTAACGGGCCAAGGCACAACGTTTTGTACACAGCCACTCGCACTGGGCTCCGGCAGAGAGAGGGCAAGGGGGACTAGAATCACCTAGGGCAGTGGTCGGCTCGCGAGCCACATGCGGCTCTTTGGCCCCTTGAGTGTGGCTCTTCCACAAAATACCGACTTCTGCGCAAGGGCCACAAAGTTTCAATCGCACTGTACATGCGCGCCTGCACGTGGTATTTTGTGGAAGAGCCACACGCAAGGGGCCAAAGAGCCGCATGTGGCTTGCGAGCCGCAGTTTGCCGACCACTGACCTAGGGAAAGTCTACGAGTTGTTGCTCTGGGGAGGGAACTGTGCTGAGTCATTCTCCCATATCCAAGGTGCCATCTCTCTTGGGTGGAGTGTCCTTGTGGCATCAGCCTGAAGGAGAGCAATAGCCACACCCTCTGGGCTCCATCTGCCCGCCCCCCCATGTGGAGCTTGTGCCCTGCTGAGGAGTTAGCTGCTTTGGCCAGGCTGTCGGAGTCAGGGAGACTCACAGATGCTGGGACTGAATGGTCTGACTTTGGGGCAGAGGCCATTACCCCCTTTCCCTGCGAACCTGACTGGCACTTCCC